AATTTTAAACTTAATACTTAGATCTCCTCCGCAGAACACCTTCTTTATTTTCGTAAATGTGGCTCTCGCTTTTTCCACTCTGATCCTGATTTATTCAGGTAATTATATTTTCTCACACGTTAAATGTTTTGGCTATGTACGGTTATGTCAGGAAAGTTTAGTGGTGATTTAGATTTTTGGGTTGCTGATGTTAAATCATAATCCGCATTTTTCACAGCATTCTACTATTCTGTTAATTAGTATCTGAAGATCTTCTGGAGTTTCTGCAATTACAACTGTGTCATCGGCATATCTTAAGGTTTTTATTGGGATGCCATTTATTTTAATATCAATCTCTTGCTCCGAAAGGGCTCTGTTTATGATGCCTTCTGAGTATAGGTTGAATAAAATTTGTGAGAGTATACATCCCTGTATTAAGCCTTTCTTAATCTCGATTTCCTCAGTTGTCTCCTGCTCTATTCGAATATTCGTTTTTCGGTTATAGTAAATGATGGAAATAATCCTGATGTCCCTTTCATGCAAGCTTTTTCCTATCAGCAGTCTCATTAGATGTCCGTGACGTACTTTATCGATCGCTTTGTTATAGTCAATGAAGCACATTTAGATATTTTGGTTCATATCTAGACATATTTGGCACATGCTATCAAGTGTAAATAGTGCTTCTCTTGTTCCAAGTCCGTTGCGAAATCCGAATTGAGTATCGCCAATATACACATCTAGTTTTCTGTGAATTCTTGTGTGAATCACTTTGAGGAATACTTTTAATGTGTGTCCCATTAGGCTTATTGTGCGATCGTCACTGTTTTGCGTTTGCCTTTTTTGGTATGGTGATAAAAGTTGACAGGAGCCATTCCTTGCGTATTTCTCATATTTTGTAGATCCAGTTAAAAAGGTCGACTAGAGTATTCAGCGAACCACCGCCCACAAGTTTGAGAAGTTTCGATGAAAGCCCTTCTGGACCCGGTGTTTTACCATTCTTCATTGTTTTTATAGTGTAGAGTATTTCTTCTTTAGTTATTTCTGATCTTTCGTCGCCTAGTCCGCTATCTATATTATGTTATTTTCATTCATCGTAGAACAATTCTTATACACAATATAACTCTTCCAAGTCATAAGCTTTTGTTGTAAATAGGTTATTATTTCTCCGTTTGCGATGCATAATGGAGTCGGATGCTTCCGTGTATGTATACCTTCCAATTCCTTTATCTTTTCATGTGGATTAAAAGTGTCATGTTTTAGTTGGAATTTTTCAATTTCCTTGCATTTTCTTTCATAAAAATGTTATCTAGCTGTCCTTATTTTGTTTTTCATTTGTTTGTGTACTTCATTAAACTTTTGTCTGCATTTGTCTTACAATGTCTTCGCCTTTGCATGTCCCAAAATGTTTTCTGGCATTCACTCTTGTCCCATTTTCTGTATATCTCTGGTAAGCAAACTCTGGGCTAGTGATACTGCTACGACACTGGTCTTGGTCTTGCAGTGTTGGAGACCAAGACTATGTTTGCAAGACCAAGACCGTATCCTGCAAGACCAAGAGTTTTGCAAGAGTCTCGTTACCCCTTAAATATGATGAATAACAAAAATGGACCGTTTTAAAAGCTTAACCGAAAACCTTAAATTAGAAAGCAAAGTTCTGAACAAGTGTCACATCAATAAAACAATTCGTCCTTAAAATGTGATTGCTTCTAGATGTTTTTCCTTTTCTTTTAGATTGTCTAAATCGGGGGTAGGTGATATAAATATTTGCAAAATAAAGTTAGTTAGTTGTGGATATTTCCTACGAAAAATTGCTTATTGATCGACATAATTAGCGATTGGGCTCGTCTGTTTTCCCAAGTACAAGTTGGGTTTGTCTCATAGAGCAGCCTTTTTGACTGTAGCTGAATATTTGTTGATATTTTCTAGTATTTAGTTATAATTTCCTTAATATTAATACATCTTTCTTTAGTATCTATTGATCATTTACTAATGTTGAATTGGTTTTGCTCAATACCCATCTATGACGAAATAGGTACAATTGAAGTATCTTACACTATACAAGATGTCTATCAAAATAGGCTGCTATCCGTAACTTGAAAACTACAATTGCAATAATCACGAATAGTTTAGGTACCTATTAATGTCGTTCGTCCAATGAATGAGCGTGTTGGTTACTCTGTTTAAGCTCTTGGTTATCCACATTTTGAAAAGCTTGCAATTATTTGTATCACATTATTTATATGTTGTTTGATGTAGAAAATTTATTTTCATTTTTGCTCCAGTTTTTGGTAAATTTTAATTTCAAATTGTATTAATTAACGTCTGTATTATGCAGATTCTAAAAAGCAGTAAGAAAAACAGAAAATAAATTTGGATGAACAGTTTACAATCTACACTGTAATAATTAATTTTCCAATGGCCCTTACCAGAGTCCTTACATACAGTTACTGTAAACAGTAATATAATTTAATCCTTGCGACGAATTATGTGCATTATTAATAATTGAGCTTGTTTTCTATCAGTAAAACTCTGCAAGCCCCATCAAAATATTTAAGTAGCTACATCTTACTGTAGATATTTCATTATTGTTGTGCTTTTGTTATAATATGTAAATTACACTAAATGAAAATATGTTCAATTTCTCTGGATGAAAATCTTCTGGGTCTTAAGTGACAATGAAATAGTACCGGTCAACAATTTTTAATTACAAAACAATTAAACTTATTAAAATAGCAAATAGTCTGAGAGTCTTTTTTAGTGTTTCGTGTTGATCATTAATTTCTTTTAATTTAACTACTATTATTGTTGATATTAAATTAATTTCGTCTAATTTTACGGCTCATATAAAAGCAAGACTTGCAAGAGTCTTGCTGCAAGACCAAGACTAAGACCAAGACTTAACATGCAAGATCAAGACTGCAGTTGATTTGCCAGACACCAAGACTATCTATACAAGAACACGACCAAGGCCATGCAAGTCTGGGTCTTGGTATTGGTCTTGATTTGATCATCACTACTCTGAGCAGGTTTTATTATGGCCTCTTTTAAACCTTGCCACTTGTCTTCTGCATGCGTGTACTGTGTCTGTGAAGAAAGCAGTCGTAAGTTATCATTTATATGTCATTTCAGATCTTCTTTGATTTCGGAATCTTGTAAGCAGCTGGTATCTATTTGATCTGTTTTTATTTTTTGTGAAGGTTTTTTTAATTTAATGAATACACGCGGTATCAGGGCCATCTGCTCCCGAATAAGCCTGAACTGATCTTATAGAGTTTCTGTAACGTTAGATATCTGATTCCTAACTGTATTGTGACTATTGTGTAGAGGGGATGTGTAGGGTCTCTGTTTGTAAAGCTCATAAAATGTGTTTGAAATTATCATGTCATTTTCGTGGCAGAACTGTAACATTCCGTCTCCTCTCTCGTTTCTTGACTCGAGGCCATAGTCTCCCACATGTTTTCCGCTTGTTCTTTTCCCAATTTTGGAGTTGAAGCCTCTAAGGATGAGTGTGACGATTAGGACAGAAGAGTGTCCTTTCCACAGAATCGGCAATACTGCTAATCTCTACTTTATCTACTTATTACTACGTAAGAATTAGATTAATTTGATTCTGGAATATATTTTCGTTAACCCTACTAATCTCCAGTTATTTGCACATAACATAATATTTAAGTTACATCATCTAGTAACAATGTTGGTCCTATTTTCTTAGAAGCTGGTGGCAAGAAGATTTTTAAGAATGTATGCAGTTAACATTAATCTAACATGAAACCCCAGCATCTAATCAAATGGGACACAACTTGGATCACATGGATGACCGAATTTTGAAGAATGAGATAAGCGTCAGTTTATGAATTTTGTACTACTATTTTACCTACGAAGGCTACTAGTCCTATGCAGTACATAACTTAATACATTGATACATGTACATTGAAAAGTAGCTTGAGGCAGTTCAACTAGCCTTCGATTTATTACTGGGAAAATTATTACCGTATCAGCTATGGACAAAGTTTCGTTACTGTAATCTCTTGAGGAAAATCGCGGAATGAGAAGAATATATTCTTAAGTTAAACTTAAAGCGCATTTGATACCAAGAATATTCATCAACCATTTGCCGTTTCAACACATGTATATCATGCATATATTCAAGCAATCAATGTGCTGTCCACACACGAATGTTTGAAGTATTTAATTAGTCATTAATTCAAGAGTTAAAAGTCGTTGACTTCCCTTTCATAATGGCTTGAAGAGGAGAACGTTTCGTTGGTAACTTTTAATTATTATCATTCAGTGCAAATATTGCATCACAATTTCATTACGATGTGTGAAGAAAGTATTATTTTCAATGGGTGCTTAATAAGTGTCCCTAGTTCATTGGCCAAGAAACTACGGCAAACTTGGCATTTCAGAGGGAATTAATTATTCAAGTTATTTCGAAGAAAATGTTTGAAAAGTGCTTTCCAAAATCCAATACGTTTCAGCTCACATCAGCTCACCAACAAGGTGTATTGGTCAATAAATCTTATAAAGAAAAAACGACTTCAAATCGAAAACAGTTATAATGTCTAATATCTTTTTCTGTTCACTGAAACCTAATTTACTGCAAAGCAAGGGCTTGGATCTGTGCTAAGCATTTCCGAGTTTACTGTGTGTGAAAGATTTTCAATTTTAACCTTCAGTGAGGACTTAATCGGGCTCGAATTTTTTGTGTCCTATACATTACTACGTTCAAAGCGTAACAGCTTTTTTGTTGAAATTTCTTAAAATTTCATACCTATTATATTATCATCGGTAAATCATATTTGTTATGATATCACCCGTAACGCGATATTTCTCATTATCTGGAAATTATTGGTCAGCGAACTCTTAACGCGGGATTAAAAACCATATTGTTTCTTATAAATTCTAACGGATCGTTCTTTGCTAAACCCGTTCTTCCTTGATCTCGATTATTATTATAGAATAATATTGCCGGTAAAAAATTGGCTATTTAACAGCTTAATATCAACGTTTTATTGTAGGCTTCTCTACTCAGTACTGCCCATTAGCGTCGCAAACGAGTTAAGACACCGAAGACCCGTTCCGGCCAAACGGTACGATGCTGTTACTTTGCTATTTTCAGGAATATACGGATTTTCAGGTAAGATGATAGTAATAATAGATGTTAGTAACTCAGTCATGAAATTTCAGTACTTTATTTAAAGGCGAGTAAATTGAATTAGATGAGTTTGAATGCGTAGAAAACACTGCGTATAAAGAGAGTTGAAAAAGATGGACAGTAGTTATTTATAGTTTAATAGATTTAAGTGTAGGAACTAGTACTTTCGATTTTTTATAATAAAATTAATGTCTGT